CACACACACACACACACACACACACACACACACACACCGCGCCCCAGGTGGATGGCCCCCGGCCCCCTGGGCCAGGTGCACCCCCTCCCCAACGACAAGGCCATCCGCAGCGAGATGGCGCGCGTCGCCAAGAACTACGCCCACATCCACCGCCTCTACAACTTCGACTGGGACCCCGTGCCCGGCAGCGCCGAGTACGCGGTGGAGCAGCGCATCCGCCGCGCGCAGGAGCTGCAGCTGCAGCGCCTCGACAGGATGGAGCGCGCGCTCGCGGAAGACGAGGAGGCGGAGGCCGCCGCCGCCGCCGCTGGCGCGCAAGTCGCGGCCACGGTGGCCGAGGCGCCGCAGGCCGCGGCGCGGCCGCCGCCGTTTGCGAGCTTGAGCGTCGGCGGCGGGCTCGGGGGCGCGTTTGGGTTTGGGTCGGGGGGGCTGGCGCGCGCGCCCCAGGGGATGGGGCGGGCGTCGCGGGCGGTGCTCAACACCCTCAGCCGCGCGGCGCGGCGCGCACCGCCGCTGTCGTCCGGGCGCCCGCGGCTCGTGCGGCCGGCGCGGCAGCAGCAGCAGCAGCAGCAGCAGCAGCAGCAGCAGCAGCAGCAGCAGGGCGTGCAACGGCAGCGGCAGCAGCAGCAGCAGTGCTAGCTGGGGCCCCCTGCAGCAGCAGCAGCAGCAGCAGCAGGGCGGGCTACGGCAGCAGCGGCAGCAGCAGCAGCAGCAGCAGCAGCAGCAGCGGTAGCAGGCGGGCCCGCCTCCAGCAGGAACGGTCAGCGGGATCAGCAGGCCAGCCGAGCGGTGGCGCGTGGTGGCAAACTCTACGCCAGACCGCAAGCCTGCAGCATCGACGCCCGCGGCGGCTGCGCTGGCGACATGAAAAGCGGCAGGGGCGGCAGGAGTAGCAGCAGCGGCTGCAGCGGCAGGTTATGGCCGCGCTTTTGAGGGCAGGGCAAGGGCTAGGATGCGGCCGCACAGATTTTTTCTGTTTTTCATCATGTGATGCGGCTCCCTTCCCTGTAATCGACTGCAGAAATTCCCTGCTGCTTTGTAGGCGATATACCAGGGCCTGTGTGTTGGTTGCATGAGGCCATTGCAGCTGGGGTTGTCGGGAGGGCCACAGCGGCCAAAGCTGGCTCGAGCGACGTGGTTGTGGCGAGAACTTTGCTAGCAGCCAAGGCCAAGTATTAGCATGCCTTGCCGTTCACCAGCACCAGCATTGTATGCTGTTGCGCAAGTGTGAAGTTAGTCAAGAAGTCCCTGGACACAAGTTCCCCGTTTCGCCTGTGTGTGCGCTAGTACAAGATAAAATTATTGGATACAAAAGGTTAACTTGCCAAGGGTGACTATGTTGCGAAGAGCTGTTTCGCAGCGCGCCGCTATCGACATCGACACGCGTGCAACTGAGCAACCTGGAACTTGCGCTTGACTCCGATACGAAAATTACACGCTTGATGTCGAAACCTATCCTGCGGGTCGCGGAATGGGTCGGGGAGGCCAACGGCACAGCACAGTCGCTCGCGCGTCACGCAGACTTCTCGCCGCGCTGCAGCCTGGCTGTCAAGCCGTTGGCAGAGGCTGTTCCTTCGCCGACCGCCTCCGAACAGGTGCGTTCAGCTGCTTTGTCTCAAGTGGAGCAGGGCCATGGCGGCCACGGCAGTTTGCTCGCAAGGCGGCGGCGGTCTGCTTGCCAGATTCCCTGAGACTGACGGTTGGCTTACAAGGGGCTGGCCCTCGGAGCCACAGCGCCGCCATACGACACCCCCTCGCGTTCCCGCCCCGCACCCCGCTATTGCAGGCCCCTGCGGCCGTGCCTTGGGAGTGCGGATCTGATCAATACTGCGTGATTGACGGCTGGGCGCTGCTACTGGCCCTTGCCAACATGTACATCGCCTCTGGCGGCGCTCTTGCCCTCGGCGGCGCCGCCGCGCGCGCGCTGCTACTGGCGGGCTGCGCGGCAATGGCGGCCGTCACGCTCGTCGCGCGTGTGTGGCTGGCGGCTTGGCCCGCGCAGTACCTGCAATACAGGGAGCAGCAGATGCTGCTGCAGCGGGCGGTATGGATGCTGTACTTGCTGGTGCGCGGGACACACGGGGCTACAGGGACAATCACAAGGGATCTTAGCTGGGGCCGCGGAAGGGGTTTATTGTGATGCACTGGGGCTGGGCGGGTGCTGTCACTGGCGCGTGTGCAGCCAGGTGCCCAGGGCTGCGCCCCTCGCTGGCAGGGTTCCATCCTCGCAGACATACAAGGACTTGCGCAACATGGGACTCATTGGCCGCTAAGCGTGCCACCTTTCCTCCGTACTTGGGGCCGATTCGGCGGCATCGTGCGCGCATTGTCACTTGCTGCGCTGCTCGCTGCTAAGCCAGGGACAAGCGCCGCATGCCTGAACCCCCATTGGACCCCATCCTCTGGCGGGGACGCAGCTCCTCGTCTGCTGCTGCACTACGGCCGACTGGGCGGGCATCCTGGAGCGCAAGGCGGGGCCGCGGCCGCGCGGCGCGGCGGCGGAGCAGCAGGCACTAGCCAGCGTCTTGGTCGCGCTGGGCGGGGTGCCGGTGAGCCGCTGGAACTGGTGGCTGCAAGGGCTTGGGGGCAGGGGGTGCGCTCCGTCTGCCTTCGCATGCGCACACTCGTTGTCCACGCACGCACGCACGCACGCACGCACGCACACATGCACATGCACATGCACACACGCTTTTTGTTAGGCCAACCTCTTGCCGTCCGCCCCGCCGTGTGTTGCGAGCTCAATCATCCCACCGACTGCCCTCCTTGCGGGCATGCCTCCCATCCGCCCCTGGCCGTGCCGACGCCAGCATGTCCACGTGACGCTTGCGCTTCTGTCCTCGCTCGCAGGCCCTGCATTGCATGCTGTTCTCCTTCCGCCTCCGCATCGCGGCGCCGCTCCAGCTGGCCACCTGCTCCGCCCTCTACACCGCCATGCAGCCCCTGGCCTGCACGGCCAAGCTCGACCCCCTGTTTGCGGCTGCAGCGCGCCGGCTGTGCTGGCGCCTGCAGGGGCTGCAGCAGCTGCTGCTCACAATGTCGGCGGCCGCAGCACCAGCAGCAGCGAGGAGCGTGGACGGTGGCGTGTGCGAGGAGGGGGCGGTGGAGCTGCTCATTGCGTTTGCACTGGCCCTGTCCTGCTTCGCCTCGGTGAGCCCCCCGCACATGCACAGTGGAGGTGGATTTAGCAGGCTACATAAGGGGAGGCGCAGGAGGAGGCCGCAGCCCCTCTCCGCCAGCGCTGTCCATGCGCGTGCGCGTGCTGCAAGCCCCTTTCACCAGTCTGGGCCGGGCCTCACGCCGAGGGGCGGGACTACCAGAGCTGAGGATCACGAGCAGCTTGCGCAGACCCTCTCTGCCGCGCGCATGACGAACTCTGGCCGCCTCCCTAGCTGCCTCCTGAGCCCATTAGTATGCCGAGGTCTCGCCGTGGCTTGCTCCCGTGAATCCCTCACAACAGTTGTACGTCCTCCAAGCAGACGAGCGCCGCCTGAAACGGCAATACCTCGGCTGCCACGGAGGCGCGACCGCAACATCACACGCGCATGCTGCCACGGGGCTGCCCCCCTTGAGCCGCCACATGCTCTGGGGTGCAGCCGCCGCGCTGGCGAGCCTGGCCGTGGCAGAGACCTCGGCAGTGTGGGGCGCGCCCTACGCATGCGTTGCTTGAATCCTGTGCCCTACCGACTTCGTGTGTAGCAGCCAACGACTTGCTGTCAGTGCTGTCACCTCGCACAACGCAGCGACGCTCCTTGTCCTTTGAGAGAGGGCCACAAATGACGCAGCGCCGTTGGCGCCCTTCCTGCACGTGCGGCGTCGAGGGCACCGCTGCGCTCCACGGTCTCCGTTCGAGCCTGTGTCGTTGCCGTGGGGCCGGCCTGCCGTGACCCCGCGCGCGAAGCACTGGCAGTGCAAGGCGCTGCCTTCTGGTCCTTACCGAGCGCGACGCGCGGCATCACCCGCACCTGTCGCCTCCAGGCGCAGCGCCACCAGAGCGAGTGACGGTGCAGCCGCATTGGACAGGAAATTTCTGTGTCCACGCGCGCCAGTGCTGCGCACAGCACCTGGACTCCTCACCAACACCCTGAACCCCATGCGTCTTAAAAAAACATCTGCATCACAAAACATCATCTCATGAGCTCTGTCCCCCTGTTGGGGATGCCAGCAGCTTCATCAACTCACGGCGCTGTGGATCGGCCTGATCGCAGGAAAGCAGGACCTCACAGGTTGCTCGAGCGCCTGCCCTCAAGCGGACGGCGGAGCCGGTGTCCATGCGCCAATTTTCTGTGCACGTTGTGGCGTTTCAAACTTTCATGCAATGAAGCATGTTAGGGTTCTAGGGCTCAAGGTCATACCTACATATGTACTCCCTGGGATGTGAGATTGGGTGCGCGTTGCGCTTGCGTTGCCCAAGGCACGCCTGCCTGGACCTGCTCGCTCACCGGGCGCATGCATGCCCACCATCATTGGACAGCCTACCGGTCCCTTCACCATGCACACACGCCAGAAATCGGGGTGAAGGGGGCGAGATTGGTGGGGCCACAAGCCGCGCACAGGGCTGGCCCTGCAGTTATACCTCCCAACCTCCCTCCGCTTCAGGGAAGCATGTGCCAGGGACCTGGACAGGCAATCCTGCTGCACCTCTCCCTCCTGAATTCTTGCTCATTTGTCATCAAGACTCGCTCACTATTGTTCTACCCTGTGGCCGCGCACCCCTTCCCACGCACCGACCCTATGCACTTATGCATGCATGTCCCGGCGAGCCTGTTCGCCCGACAAGGCGGCACCTGACTGGCTTTTGCATGCATGCGTGTTGGCACGCATGCAGGGCAACGTTGCCAAGCCGCACCGCAGTATATCCCTGCTCTATAATCCCCATTCGTGGTGTGGCGGGGTGACGGCACGCCAGTATTACAGCCGCCGCACGGGCGCCCCTTTTGCCTGCCCAACCCCGATTGCCAGTGGCGGGCAGAGCCGCCCCTCACCCTCACTTGAAGTCACCACAGCATTGCCTTGAAACAACCATTAATTGTGTCTCGCGCATTCAACGCAGAACTTTGCCATACTTGAGCCAACATATTAGCTTCGCTTCAACAGCAGCTCGCCGGCTCCGCCCCACCCGCCTCTCTCGCCTCTCCGCAGCACTTTTCAAAGCCCTTGCTCACTGGGCTTATCAAAGCCCTTGTTGGCGTTTGCGACAATCTTCCTCTGCAAGCGGTGTAAGCGTCATCTTGGTGTGCGCATAGGCAGGCAGCTGCAACTGTCAGCCGCACAGGGGTGGATCCGTCGGCAGTTCTTTCAAAGCTGACTTCTACACAACAGAGCAGTGCGCGCACACTCAGCTGCGATGTACAGGCGAGGCCCGTTCCTGTCGTTTGCGCCCCGGCACCCTTGCTGACTGTGGCGGCGCTGTTGCGAATAAGCAAGCCGTGTGAGGGACGGGCGCTGGCAGCTTGTGAGGTGTGGCGCCTGCCCCAGCTGCGTGATGTCGTGCAGATGAGGCCACTAGGTTTATCTGAGCACGTCATGTCATGATGGCAGGCATCAAGGGCGGACAATGTTTCCGCTGCTGCAGCCGCAGCTGCCGGCGCGCCGATTGCAACTGCTACGGCAAAGGTTACACATGCCGCATGCCCCAGCTGGTGCACTACGCAAGCCCAAGCATTGGCGGCTGGTGCAGCAGGGGCGCGTTGATACGGGATTTTGGGGGCAGACACACGCAGCTCAGGGGAGGGGGGCCGTGCCACGGGCTGCGCTCGAGCAGAGCTGCGCAGCACTGTGCGCGCTGCTGCTGTCGTCGGGGATGGTCGCTGGGGACGGCCGTGGCTCGCACTGCCGGGGCTGCAGCGGCACCCAGCAGCAGCAAAAGCAGCAGGAGCAGCAGGAGCAGCCGCATTGCTCTCCAGGCCAGGAGAAGCTGCTGCAGCATCAGATGTCAATTCGGGCATGCCAGCTGGAAGACAGCACGTATTTGCGCGTCGTGCGCCGCACCACAGCGCAACGGCATACACAGCGCCAGCAGCGACAGCGTCGCCGATCGCAGGGGCAGCTGCAGCACCTTTGCACCATTTGCCCAAAGGGCAGGCAAGAGCAAGGATTTAACCCGCAGAGGTCGCTATTTTTGTCGTGTACTGCGTGCTTTATTTGATTGGCTTCAGAAAACACAAGCAGTTCGGCCAGCTAGATGGACAGGGTCTGCAGGTCGGTATCAGGTCAGTGTGGCCTGAGGCCGCCGCAGCTGAGGGCACAATTGGTGGCAAAGGCAGAGCGATGCGCATTCAGATTATAAATCAGAAGTGTCTCATCTTGGGTCCTGCTGAACTTGATCCTGCCCTCTTTGCCGGGCGTCAACTTTGCAGATTGATGCCACCTTTATGTGTGAACCAGTCCCACGACAACCACGAGCTTTCTCTCATTCAAACGGCTTGGAGCAGGCCTGCATTACAAAGAATAACGTTTCTCACTTGATATGAGCCAAGGATGGCTGAATTCCCGGCGCGGAGTTGTTTCGCAGCGCGCCGCTAGTATCGACACCGACACGCGCGACGAAACGCGGGAATCGCGCTTGACAAAATAAGGGAAATACATGCTCAATGTCGGATCTTGCCTTGGCGCGGGTCGCGGATCGGGTGGCGAAGGAGGTCTGCAGTGGCGAACCGCTGGTGTCAAAAGCGCACGACACCAATCGTGCGCCGTGCCACAGCCCAGGCGCCAATCCGTCTGCAGGGGGCGCCCCTGTGCTGAGCACCTCCCGACAGGCGCGCTTAGCTGCTTCGGTTCGAATGAGGTTGGGCCCTGGCGCCCTGTCGCTCGCCGAACGTGCATGGCGGCATGCTCTGGCAGGCTAAGGGGATGAGCGCCCGCACCCATAAGATACGCAACGGGCAGGCCCTTGGAGCCATGGCGCCGCCGGACCACACCCCCTTGTGCCCCGCGCCCGCACGACGCAATCTCAGGCCCAGGCCCCTCCTGCCATGCAGCCGCCTCGCGTGTCTCTGCACCCTTTCACCCTCCAGCTGGCGCCGCCAGTAATGGACGCGAGATTTTGGGAGTGGGGATCTGCTCAATGTTGCGCGTTTGACCGCTGGGCACTGCTGCTGGCCCTCGCCAACGTATACATCACCTCCAGCGCCGCTCTTGCCGTCGGCGCCGCCGCCACGCGCACGCTTCTGCTGGCGGGCTGCGCGGCGATGGCGGCTCTCACACTCGCAGCGCGCACGTGGCTGGCGGCTTGGCCGGCGCAGTACCTGCGGTACAGAGGGCAGCAGATGCTGCTGCAGCGGGCGGTACGGATCTTGTACTTGCTGGTGCGCGGGACACAGCCGGCTTGGGGGCGATGCACAAGGGGAGGCGGCTGTGGCCGCCGAGGGGGGTGGTTGTTGCGCACGGGGCCGGTTGCGGGTAGGGGAATGCTAGGCTCTTTTGGGAGGCAAGGGGCGCGTTGCGCCTTGCGCGGCTAGTGTGCGCTGGGCTGCGCCGAAGTCTGGTGCCAGGTAAGGCGTGCCGTATGCGGCACCCTGCTGGCTGGTGCAAGGCCGCCCGGGCCTTCTCAGCCGCTGTCCCTTGCTCGCGGCCTGCCCGCACCTTGGGGCGCGCGCTAGTCGATGGTAAACTGCTGTATGCTTGTTTTGCATCTAGCTACCGCCATACGTCCGCATGCCCTCAGCCCCCCCCCCTCCCCCCATGCTCTGGCCCGCAGCTCCTCGTCAGCTGCTTCACCACAGCGGACTGGGCGGCCATCCTGGAGCGCAAGGCGGGGCCGCGGCCACGTGGCGCGGCGGCGGAGCAGCACGCAATGGCCGGTGTCCTGGTCGCGCTGGGCGGGGTGCCGGTGAGCCGCTGGGAGTGGGGGATAGTTGGCAGGGGGTGCGCTCTGTCCGGCCTCGAGGGTACGGGAGCGCGCGCACCGCGTGCACCGGTGTGTGCGCACTCACAGGTGCGCGCTGACAATCGCGCACATACGCACATGTGCATGGGCAGGAGGATGCACCGCACGCTCAGGCGCGCATCTACACCGGCACACAGACTCACATGCGCTCAGGCACACGCACACGCACTCCACCACATCCATGCAGACAAGTACACCCCACACACACACACTCACACACACACACACACACACACACACACATGCCCGCACTCGCACTCCGACCTGGCCACGTGCCAACTGCCTGCGCCCGCCCAACCTGCCGCATTCCCCAGACAGATGCATCTTTGTGACGCACCGCCCTCCCTCCCTGTTTGCAGGCACTAGACTGCATACTCTTCTCGTTCCGCTTCAGCCTCGCCGCGCCGCTCCAGCTGGCCACCTGCGCCGCCCTCTACACCGCCACGCGGCCCCTGGCCTGCGCGGCCAAGATCGATCCCCTCTTTGCGGCCGCAGCGCAGCATCTGTGCTGGCGTCTGCAGGGGCTGCAGCAGCTGCTGCTCACAATGTCATCGGCGGCGCCAGCGGCGGCAGGGAGCGTGGACGGTGGCATGTGCGAGGTGGCGGCGGTGGAGCTGCTCATCGCGTTCGCACTGGCCCTCTCCTGCTTCGCCCCGGTGAGCAGATCGCGAATGCACCGAGTGGGTGGATCGGTCGAGCATGCCTCTAGGGGTTGACGGGGGCCATCGCGCCCTCGCCCGCTGATAACGAACTTCACGCCCGCGCCCGTCAATGGCAGGGATCCGCGGCCGAGGGCAGCAGAGTTTTGAATTGCAGGCAGCGCCTCATTGTCTTGTGCCTGGCGCACCCCAGCCGCCCGCCTGCCTGCCTGCCCGTCTGCCTGCCTGCCTGCCTGCCTGCCTGCCTGCCTGCCTGCCTGCCAGCCAGCCAGCCTGCTTCTACCTCAAACCCGGCACGACCGCCCCCCCCCCCCGGGCGGAATTTGTGTCGCAGATGTACATGCTTCATGCAAGCGAGCGCCGCCTCAAGCTGCGCTTTGTGCAATCCTGCAGTGGCGGCGGCGCGCGTACGCCCGCCCCGGCTGCCCCGGGGCCCCCCACCCTGACCTGCCACCTGCTCTGGGGCGCGGCCGCTACGCTGGCAAGCCTGGGCGCGGCAGAGGCCGCCGCGTACTGGGGCTGGGCCCACACCTGCCCCCCTCGTGAGCTGCACCCTGACGTCCCCCGCCACTGAGCCCCGTTATTCATGGCTTCTCCCTGCCAAGAGAGCAGCTTGCTGCAAAGTCACAAAGCCATGCACCCTGCCCGTCCGCCCTCGCCCCCCAGCCGCAAGCTGCCACGGGCCGTGGCTGCGCCCGCGCTGCGCACAGCGACGGTCCGGGCCGCGCAGCTCACCTGGTGGCATGGCGCCGCCAGGGCAACGCCTGTTATTCGAGTCCAATCTGTGTTTAATCACTTGCACGCGTGCTGCCCGGCCGCGATCGCGCCCCACCGCACACGTGGTTTTACCCCGCACCGCCCGGCACAGATGGTGCCAGATAAATCTCGCTCCTTGGCGTGGCTTGGTCTTCTGATGCCTGCCGGTCCCCAGGGACTTCACGTGAGCCATCCACAATTGGATGAACTAGCCTCATTTGCACGTGGGCCCCCACGAATCTACCGCTGAATGGTGGCGCGCGCCGGAAGGCCCCTTTGATGCCCAATCGGCGGCCCTGTGCGAGCCCTGTTGACTCAACATGGCGCACCCGCCGGGGGGATCTGCCATGCCGCCCTACTAATCTGTCCTGCGGCTTGCCAATTCTCCATGAGGGAGTGTTGGGGGTTTTGAACGCCGCCTTGCCTAACTCATTGAGTTTGGCTTGCAAAGCAGCTCCCATCAGGTGCGTGGGGCATGTGCCAGCGGCCCGCTGGCGCGTGTCAATTGCGCACACCAGCCGTCAACTGTGCGCACCTGCCAGCGCAACCATTTGGGGCGTCTCTGCGAGGATTTGACCTTGATCTTAGTACCATCAATAACACACATTCAACGGCACATCTGATGGACGCCGCAGGCTGCTCGACCGCTGGGCCCAGCCTGCGCGTCCGGGCCCGCCTGGCGGCCTCGAACCCCCCTTCGTGGCACGCCCCTGCCCCCACACTTTGCCACCTTGAGCCCGAGCTAGCTTCTTCCAGAGGGTGCGCATCTGCATCGCTTGGCCCCTCCTTTCCCTTGGCGCGCATGCGGGTCGCTGTTCCGCACCGCAGCGACTATTGCACATTGCTATCAATTGGCGTTCTCATGGGCGGCGGCACGTGAGCATTGCAGTCGCAGCACCCGTGCCCCTGCTGTCTCTCAGCCTGCAAGTGTCAACTGCAGTAGCAGCTACTACCCCTCACCCGCAGCATAATGGGTCCCTGTGGCATCGTCGCTGCGGGCCCTGCGCGCGTCGTTCGGGGCGCGTGCACAACTACTCATCTGGCCTGTGCACTTTGCACAGCAGCCGAATCTGCTGGCACCTGACTGTCCGATTTCGCGGGTCACCTGCATTTTGCAAGGTTGCTTCGCCGCACTTGCCCCACCCCCCGCCCTAGCCTCCCCAGCGCAGAGGACTTTGCCGGGGCTCTCATCAGCGGCCCCCTGACATTGCCGTGGCCCCTCTTAAGACAATTCGCAGAGCAGTCAAGCACCACAGGTGGCACTTTGCCGACCCAACCTGCGCTGTTCACGCTTCTTCAATTGGAAAGACCTGGTGCCGGCGTCTTGATGCGGGCAGTGAGGGTGCCTCGATTGCTGGGGCTGTTTGCGAAGGTGACGCGCCTGCACCGCCCGCGCGGCTGCGTCTCTCAATCTTGCGCAGAATTGCTGGCCTCTTCCCGCACAACTCCGCGGTGTTTGTGCTTCCCAATGGTCCGCGCTTGGCCAACCCTGCTGCCTGCCGCAGCTTCAGGCCACTGGACACCTCATCCTGTGGGCATGCCCCAACGCGTCAATGCTCCATTCCAGACGCAACGGCCCTTTTCCTTTGCTGATGAGGCTTTCTTCGATAGACTTGCTGGTTGCCCACACGCATATTCAGATCCTGAGCCACTCAACTGCCACCAACCTTCAGCGTGCGCTTTTGGCTTGAGAGCGCTCCAATATCAAGCGCCTAACAGCGCGCCTCCGCGCCGCCTGCTTGTTGAGTGTACTACGCTCCGCATGCGCTGTCTCATCAAGAATGGGAATGTGTGTGTGTGTGTGTGTGTGTGTGTGTGTGTGTGTGTGTGTGTGTGTGTGTGTGTGTGTGTGTGTGTG